TTCCAAGGTAATCATACTATTTTGCAATACTGACTGAATAAGAGTGAATCTATCTATCTATCTATCTATCTATCTATCTATCTATCTATCTATCTATCTGTTTATCTATTTTCTAGGCAGTGTTTCTTTGTGTAGCATTGACTGTCCTGGACTAGCTTTGTAGACCAGGCTGGCCTCAAATTCAGAGATCCTCTGCCTCCCAAGTGCTGGGACTAAAGACTTGTGCCACCATGCTCAGCTGAATAATAATTAAGTGACTCAATTACTAACATAATTTAGATTCATTTGTAGGAGAACATTGTAAAGTTTTTAATTCCAAATTTCTCTTTATGCTTTGCTTTGTCCTTAAGAAGGAGACTTTAGAATTATTTTGGTTTTCTGACTACTTCAGTTGAAATTGAAATGTTTTTGCAATCATTTTGTGAAAAATCCATAACATCTGTTTTCCATTTGCTAAAGTTTGGACTTTCCTTAGGAAAAGTAGATAAACTATACTCAGTCTTACAGTGGTAAGAGCCAACGCATGCACACACACACGCACACTTCCTGTGTGTAATTGAAAACTATACATGTTATACTATTAGTAACTTTTATGACTATAACAGAACTGTAAATTTAAAGTTCTTTTTAAAATTATTCTTCTGTCATCAGGTTGGTATGTGATGTGTGTATATTTATACTGGTCATTTTAAGTTTTTGTGGGTTTTTTCTTTTCTTTTCTCTACATGCTGAAGGGCTTTGTTTTTGTTTACTTGATTAATGGGAAATAGAAAATCCTGTCTCTTTGCTTACAAGCCATATTAAAGAAACTGCTGCTCTTTATAGGCATGCATTCTTTGGAGAGTAATTTGTTCACTCAGAAATCTTAAAATATTACAGTAGACAGCGGACAAGTTTAAAAACTCAGGGTCCAGTGTTCCCGACAGAATACAATCTATGTAGCTATGTATTATTTCAAGTGTTCTATGGCTTTTTCTGTGTTCCCTTTGTGTTTTGTTCTTCTGTTCTCCTTTCTTGCCTTTATTTGGATTATAGAATTTGTTTTTCTTTTCTTTTGTGGTTCTAGGACTGAACTTAGAATCTTGTGGGATTAGCACAAACTATCCCCCTAAATGGCAAACCTACCCTACCTGGCTTTCTTTTCTTTTTATTATGCTAAAGTATGCATGATAAAAAAATTACCATTCTAACTCTAGTTAAGGGTTCAGTAGTGCAAATTACATTCATAATATTGTGCAACTATCACCAGTATTCTGAAAAAAGAAAATGAAATTCTAATACCCATTAAATTGATTAGCTTTCGTAGCCAGACCTGATGCTTGTGGTCCCCAGACCTCGGGAAGTCCAGGCTGGAGGATCATAAGTTCAAGGCCAGCCTGGGTTGTACTAGGAGAACCTTTTTCATAACACCAATAAAACCCAAACAATCATGGCTGGAAAGATGGTTCAGCAGTCAAGAGCGCATACTGGCAGAGGACTCAAGTTGATCTGTCGCTGACATGGATCAGCTCACAACTGCCTGTAACTCCAGCTCCAGGAGCTCCCACACACTCTTCTGTATTTAGCAGGCACATGCACATACACACGTAATTAAAAACAAAATAATTTTTAAAAACATTTGAAAAAATACAACCCATATAACTTCCCTTCTGTGTTTCCACCATACACTGGCAGCTGCCGTTCTACTTTCTCTGTGTTTTATTTCTTTTTTAACTTCATTAAGTACTTCATAGAAGTAGAATTATGAAATACTTGTCTTTTGAGGGGTTGGCTTTAGTTGGCAGTCTTTGTTAAAATTTAAATTGATTTTGACTGATATATTGGGAATTAAAATTTGTGAAAGTGTGCTGTTTTGATATATGTATATTGTATAATGTTTGAGTCATGTTAAATGTTTATATTTCTTTATGGTAAAAAAACATTATAATTTGACAGCTTTCAGAAATGTATGGTACATTGTTTGTTCTGTATATACCTTGATATAATAAGGTATATCCACAGTAGTACATGTCAGAAATTCCTCGTTTTAGCATAGGATTCTGTTGTAAATAAATTTTGCTCACAGGTTTATCTGCAGGTGGGCATTCTACATTGTAACTATTATATGAGTAGTATGAACATGAGTATACAGGTGTCTCTTTGAGACTGTTTTCTATTTTGTAGGCATAGACCCAGAAGTGAAATTGCTGGTGTACATGGTAATTCTATTTATCTTTTTTTTCTGAAGAAATACCATTCTGTTTTCCACAGTAGTTATCTGCTGTTAGGTAGCATGTCTGTGTGCATGTGTTTAATATGGTTGACTGTTGATTTTGTTCCTCTATTTTCTGCTGTCTGGCTGCTGTAAATATTATGAATGTGCTTTTCAAGATTGTCTGGCTCCTGAAAAGGACAAACGAAAACTGGAGCGTAAAAGAACACTAGCCCTTTATAGCCAATGGAAATCCCTTCAGCTGGAATAAGAAGAAAGACATTTAAAGACTCTGTGATCAGAAGGATATCAACCATCATGTGGCATGTGCTAGGAGTACAGAGCCGCCTTTTCTCCACCCAGACTCTAGTTCCAGGTAGCTACTCTGTGCCAAGAACTCAACTGACTGACAGTGGCGAAGTCTGTGTACATAGATGCACATGTATGTATATGTACATATATATGTAATGGCAATATATGCATGTACTCAGCAAGAAAAGGAGGACATGCCTTGTGACATGAACAATGAAAAACTTTCCTGTGAAATCTTCACATTTTTACCTAGACCATACTTATCCAGTGAGGGTGGAGGGTGTTCCCATTTATTCCCTTTCTGAGTTTTTCATGGACAACTTAAATTGGTTTTTTTTTTGAACCAGAATCACATTTTTGCACCCCATCCCAAAATTCAAAGTGTCTGTTTCATACAGGCTGGTACCAAACACTTCGGGATATGACTCACACATTAAAAAGTACAATGCACAATGTGAAGATCTTGAAATTCATACTGCGTAAGTAATGGCAGTAAAAAGCCAATGATATTTTAAAGATTTACTATTTATCGTGAATATTGTTGAAATTTTTATTTGTTAATGAGCGTATGCGTGTGCGTGCAAGCGCACATGTGCGAGCCTACATGCGTACATGCGCCATGTGTGCAGGCACCCTCAGGGAGCAAAAGAAGGCATCAGATACCCTGAAACTGGACTTCTGGGTAGTTATGAACTACCAGATGTTGGGAACTAAACTTGGGTCCTCTGAAAGAAGAGCAAATGTTCTTAACCACTGAGCGGTCTCTTTAACCATGTTAAATAATTTTGTAATCTTTTTTATTTATGTTGGTGATCAAACTGTCTGAAAATTGACCAGTGGAAATCCTTTTGAACTATCCCCAGCAGCCATATGATACTACTTTGTCATATCTTCAAGTACTTTCTTATAATTTGATATTAAAAGGTTTTCAGGAATTGCAATATATATAAAACCTCTTCTGCCCCATCATGGCTGTGTCATTTCTCTGAGGACTTTTAGATGGGATTAACATTAGAAATCAAAATATGGTACAATATATGTTCATTACTATTGGAATGTTTTGTTTCTTGGCATTTTCAGGAGACAACTAGAAAATTTGTGCTCATACTTAGATACACATACACATGAAGTCATATGATCTTTTCTATACATATATGAATAAATAAGGATAGTATACACTGTGCATGGTTAGTCTAAGAATACAATAATGAATAAGTTAGTTTCTGGTTTCAAAAATCCTGATGCCCATATCCTAGCTGTGCTCGACAAGAGACAGGAAGAAGCCACCTTGAGTTAGCATGTGAGATACAAGGATTGCTGATATACTAACAGGAAGTCTAAGAGGGAAAATAAAATTTCTAACAGAGAGAATGCGTAGTAGTACTATTCATGGTTGAGAGTCCATTGGTGGTCAGCTGGATTGGCAATATCTTCTCTACAAGGTTTGCTTCACCAAAAGACCAAATGATGCCATCTTCTCTGTCCACTGGTGATAGGCTGGCAGAAAACTGTCAGGGATGTGGCGCTTGATGGGCTAGACAGGCATCACCTCAGTCAGGCATGACACCTCATTCAGTGTTTATTCTATCCACAGTGTTCTGGGAGGACCAGTGGCAGCCTCCTGGACAGGGAGCACTTTTTTGTGCTTTTCACAGTGTTCTTTTTCTGTACCCATTTACCATAAAGAGCGTGATTTTAATGGTAAGATGCCAGAAGCATTGGCGTATTAGCTAGCTTTTTGCTCTTTATAGGACTGGCATTCCAGTAACCTGTGACTTGATGTACATGCAGAAAAGTAGTTTTCTTTACAGATACTGCCAACTTGCTTAGTTCCCAGTGTGCTTTGGAGAGGCTAACTTTAATTCTGGCTGGTGAGTCTTCGCTCTTCCCTTAGCAGAGGAATATGTCTCAGGGATGGGGTAGTTGATGTTGATGTTCTGCTTTTGTCAGGGATCATGAATACCGCTTATAAACAGCCATGTGAGTGAAATCATAAACATGTGGTAGTTGATGACAGAAATATCACCAAGGCTTTGGGAATATAAATACATACAGTGTACCACATAGATAGTCTTGCTAGCCCAGAGCAAGACTCCATCATTAGAGTTCCCACCCTCTAATGATGTGGTTGGCCTTTTTGGTATCTAGCTCCCGACTGCAGATACATAGGGTGCTCACTCAAGAACGTGTATATAATTAGAAACTTTGCACCAAAAAGCACATTATTTTGCATTCATCAAGTAAGACTTCCTGGAGAATGTCACATTGGAGTGGTTGAAAAGTTGGGTAGGGTACTCCAAGATAAAATAGTTGCTCTGGCAATTAGCATTAGCTGTCACAGAACACACACACAGGTGCAGGGTTCAACGTATAGGAGGACATCAAGTCCATTTTTATTGTCAGTAACACATCTGAATGGAAAAAAAAATAAAGCTTAAGTATAAAGTGAGCCTATTATTTCATACTATTTATTAATCATAGCATCTTACTCTTACAGAGCAGAAGAAAAAAGAGATTTGCTCTGGTTTTTCCGAAGTCTGCATTTTTTCGTGGAGTGGTATGAGTATCGTGAGAACACATTTAAGCATTTTAAGGTAAAGTCTGAAATGTTTGAATCTAAATATATATAGAAAATGTTTGGTTTTCTACCTGCCTGGGGGCTGCTTCCCAGCAGCCCATGAAGTCAGGAGGGCAGGTGATGTGAACAGGAGGTTATTTCCTCATTACTCTGGGAAGAAAGGAGGTACCACACAAGTTAAGCTGGTAACAGTTTGATAGCACCTCAGTGATCTGTTGTTTTAGGCCTAGGAGAGTTAGAGGTGTTAGGAGGGTAATGAAGGGAAGGAAGTCAGCATTCTTCTTTGGCATTGGTGTCTCTTGTCTCTGTGGGCACTGAAATGAGCAGGGTTAGGTGTTTGAGAAATCTCCATCCTGGTCCAGCATCCTCTGTCATGTATTTCACTCCATAATGTATCTGTGGAAAGAAACAGCATGTTAATTATGCGGCCTGTGTAAGAAGATTCTCTGTATGTCTTGGTAAATTTTTAGAACTTGACTGCATAAGGTGGGGAAGCATTAGAAACTAAGTCCTTGGAGTTCCTGCTTTCATGAAAGAAATTTATCAGTTTGGAGATTGTTAACTTGTAGGATATTTTTTATCTTATTTATTTTTCCTGTAAAACAATATTATGAGTTATCGTGGGCTTAGCTCCTAGTACAGGAGGCATTATTGTTATTGGCAGCCATAGAGTGACAGAGGAGAAGGCTTGACATGTGACCTAGAAAATTTAGGAGGTTTAAAGGTAGCTGAGTCATTTTGGGGGCAGTTTTTCCTCGCAGTGTCTAGTTTTTTTGTTTTTATATTTAAAACATTTTGAATTAAGCTGTGTTGTAATTGTAAAGGCTTGGGCCAGGGAGGAAGCCTGGTAAGAGGCACTCAATATCATAGGTACAATCCCTTTGTCATAATGTTTATATCTTAGTCCCTGGCAAGCTTGCCTGTGTTCTGGGGTCATTCCTTCCCATATAAGATTATTTAGGAGCATTGCTTTTGCAAAAGGGTCTGTTATCTTTTTATCTAAACTGGCTTGTATACTTAGTATAAAATCTGGGAGAGTCTCCTTGGTTGATTTTTGTTTTAAGACAGCCAATGGAAAGGCTTCTCCAGGTCCTTTGGATAAAGGAGTTAAATGATTTAAATCCTGAAGTGTATGGGATTGGACTTGGTCCAGGCAGCCGCCAGGGAGTAAAACCTGCTGAATTCCTGTAGTGAAATTACCTTGGCCAAACAGTTGGTCTTAAAAGAACTGGGGAGAGAAGATTTGTGTATATCTCTCCAGTCTTGGGGGTTTGAAAACGTTTTATTAAAACTTTGTAAATTAGATTTGATCCATGGGGCATAAATTTTATTCTCATCTACATCTTGGTGTAGCTCTTTTAAATCTGTAGCTGGGAGAAGGTACCAGGCTAGAGGGTATTGCCTAGTTAAGTGTAAATTAACAGGGAAGGTTTTTATAGGTGGAGGTTTAATGGCTGGAGTGCTTGGGGGATAATAGTTTTCACACCGAGAGCAATTGTTGCCAGTAACTCCGATTAAAGAGCTGTTGGTCTCTGATTACAAAGCTGTTTCATAGGGGGAGGTGGGACCACACATTGTAGCAGTGGCAACAGTGGGGCAGAAGCCTTGGTCTTGGTCTCTCTCTCTACCCCCCTCTCCCTCTCTCCCTCCTTCCCTTGCTTCCCGCTCCCCCCTAATGAGAAGTCAAGGGTGGCCAGTGAAGCCAGTGAAAACTTACACTGGGGTAGAAAAGGGGAGAGGAGGAACTTTTGTTTAATTACATCGATTACTTAATGTTTAAGAGCATTGCTTTTTTTTTTAAGGCAGTTACATCAACTACTAGACAATTTTCAGGGTCTTTTTCATTTGAGCCCTGCCCTTTGTCCTCTTGTGTTTTTTTTCTCCTGATGGGTCATTTTGAGAGTCAGGTTTTTTTTTTGTTAAAGATTGTCTAATAGTGGCTATCACTGGGAGAAAGAAGATAGACAATAGCCTTCATTGGCTTCCTTTTTACGAGCCAAATAAGCAAAACGGGTCTAGACATCTGGATTTGAGATATCTGCTGATAGGACCCGCAGTGCAAATTGAAGCACCTCATTCCAAAATTCTAAGCCTTCCTTTTGGGGGATTTTAAGTCCTCTAGATAAGTAGCGCTCTAAGGGAGTAAATTTACAGATCTCTCTGAAGTGATGTTGAATTCCCCATAATTAGAAGGGAAGGAGAGCATTAGAGAATCTTACGGTCTCTGGGACAATCAGTTTAGGCAAAGTGAAAGGCTCTAAGGTGTGCAAACTTGTAAAGAGAGATCCTCTGGATGGGACAATCAGGCAAAATTTTACTACCTGCCGCCTGTGCGAAGGGAGCTCTCTGGGGTCTGAGACTGCCCACTGTCTATACTGTGGTGGGGAGCTTGCAAACTTTTAACAATCTGAAGCCTGGGCCCTGGTGGGGCCTATTGCATTTGGGGGGGGGGGGGGGCTTCAAACCAACCCTATGGGGCCAAGACCTTCCCTTCCTAGTTTGCCAGGCCTCAAGGGAAGGCAGGAATAGAGTCGAAATGCCCTTTTTACAGGGCTTCAAAGGGGGTACTCACTTTTCTTGGGGCAGTCCAGAACTCCATGTTGGGCGCTAGTTGTAGGTTCTCCTCCTGCTAAGTTCAACCTTAATTCCAGAGAACAAAGGGTATATACTTCTATGGGAGTGGGTGGAGGGCTCCAAGAATAAGTTCATATAATTGGTTGGAACTAGGCACTTCAAAGATGCTTAATTTGCATTATACAGCATTCACCTATCATAAGAATAGAATGTCAGTACCTAATTAACATCTAAATTTAGGGAGTAGAGAGCTAGCAGGGAGCTTTGTTAGAGGTCACACATCAAGAGTGGTTAGGGGAGTTTGTCTAAAGACACCCTCCAGATGAAGTCAGGCAGACAGCAGGGGATCCTGCGAAAGGGAGGGAGTTCTGCCTTTAGGGCCTTGAAGGCTATCCAGTTCAGGCCAGAACTGCAACCTCAGTCAGCAGCTTACCTCCAACAGAAAATGAGCTGGTGTTGATTGTGATAAGAGAATCATAGCTTTTTTTCTTCCTTCCTTCCTTCCTTCCTTCCTTCCTTCCTTCCTTCCTTCCTTCCTTTCTTTCTTTCTTTCTTTCTTTCTTTCTTTCTTTCTTTCTTTCTTTTCAGTTTTTTTGTTGTTGTTGTTGTTTTGTTTTGTTTTTGGACAGGGTCTCATGTAATTCTGGCTATTCTGGAACTATGCAGACCAAGCTGCCCTCATACTAACAGAGATCCACCTGGCTCTCTGTGCACCAAATATTTGCTGTAAATTTCAAAGAATAAAGAATATTGTCACTGGTTTCTTTAAATTAGTAGTTATTTGTGATAAATGGGTGAGAAGCTTCTGTATAAATCAGTTGGTAATTGATATTATGGAATTTTATTTTTTGACCATTTATTATAGTCTAATTTATTTCAAATTTTTATTTTTGAAAATTTAGCCTTTCAGGAGTGAAATAAATAAATAAATAAAAATAAATGTGAGTAAAAATTATATAGTGTAGCTTGGTGTGTTAGCTCACTCCTTTAATCCCAGCACTCACTGGGAGGCAGAGGCAGGCGGATCTCTGTGAGTAGTGCTGGAGGTGGTAGTTCGTGCCTTTGATCCCAGCATTTATAAGGCAGAAGCCAGCAGATCTGCAGGAGTTTAAGTGCAACTTGGTCAATGTGGTGAGTTCCAAGCCAGCCAAGGCTATGTAAAATATAGATTGTGTCTCAAAAAACTTACTATATATTGTTACAAAAATAATGTAATCATAACTTCTATGCCATTTTGTAATGTAATCATAACTTCTATGACTATTTTGAAATTTTGGATTGTTGTACATCTTCAGCATAAGTATTGAAGCCTGATTCTTATGAAGTAATGGCTTTAAGTTGAATAGAAATACTTTAAAGATTGCTTTAGAAAATTGTTATATAATGCCTCAGGTCCTGCTTATTCTCATAGCATTAAGTTATTAACAGCTGTTAAACACACAAAAACATTATCTGAATGAATCAGCATAAATAATATTTCAAGGTTCTAGTCCTTCAGAAGCCTAACATATGACTATTATTTTAAAGATTGTTACTGAATATCCTGTATTTGGGGTTCAGTTCTTTTTAATTATTATTAAATTGATACTGCTTGATTGAGTTAATAAAAATCTATCACACATAAGGCTTTCTCCAGAATAAGACATGGACAGTTCCCATACTGCAGTCTCTTAAGTAATTCTCATGATTTTCTTGTATGTATTTATGTCTGGGATGTTGAAGGCCAGCTTCAACAGGTTAGGGTAAACTGAGGTGGAGTGTAGACTCAGTGAATGATCACTCAGCAGACTTTTTCTGAGAGAATAAAGCTTTATTTACTGGGGCTGGTACTCGTGGCTGGTGAAATAGAAAAAAGAAAAGGGAAAAATCATACACACACACACGATAGATGAAACAAGCTTCAACAAGCTCTGTAGTATTACTTTTTTATACTATTTAATTAATTTATCTATCTTTCTTCCTTCCTCCCTCCCTCCCTTCTTTCTTTTCTTTTCTTTTTTCTTTTTTCTTTCTGCCTTTTTCTCATTTCTCCACCTCAATCCCTTCCAATACCCCAAAACCAGATAGGAGAAAAAGATTAATGGGAGAGTGGTGGAGTTTTCTTTAGCTACTTTCTGCTGGTTAGGGTCGTTGAGTTCCTTGGGGCAAGTCCAATCTTCATTTCAGGATATCTCCAACTTTTTCTCATTCAACTGTTATCAGTAGCAACCAGGAGCAGCAGGAGGACAGAAGCGCCAGGACCACCTTCTTTCTCAGAGCCCCTACTTTCTCCAGGCTCTGGTCTTTATGCCCTCTCAGAGGCCTCAGAATTAAACTATCTGCACCTGGCAGAGAGCATCTCTCAGAGCCCAGATAAGGCAAATAGTTTGCTGCTGTGGACAATCTGAATCAGTCCCATATCCTTCCTTGCTCTGGGATCAAAACAAAAACATGTTCACATCCACAACAAAGCTTCAACAAGTTCACACATACACACACACACGTTTGATGAATGGAGCAAAACTCCAACCAGTTTACACATATACACACATACATATTGGGTGGACGAAGCAAACTCAAATGAGCGAGCTCCAAGAACTTTATTTTTTTACCCACAGCAAAATCTTTCAAGTAGTATAAAAATTACAATGTGATGACAGCCTGTTTTTCTTTTAGTGAGTGATCATGAAAAAACTTTTTTATATGAAAAACATTTTATGTATTACAGGTGAAGAAAACAAATTATTCCCAAGAACCCACATACATTCATACCTAAGCAAGTTATAGATTAACAAAGTGTAAGAAAGCAAGGTAATTTTCTCAGCCAGTTTCTCTTTACTAGCAGGCTGCAATTTGTGGTTACAAAGAAAGCATCAATGATCTTAAAAAGAAATCTTCTAAAAATCTTAAAAGAATCACAAATCTAAACTTTTTTATAAGAACAATCATCCATTTTTGTTTTATACTCTTAGGCTGCTAATTACTACTCATTAAAAGTTGTTTTTTATGAAATCATATCAGGAAGCTGAGGCAAAAATGGGTACAAGAGAATAATCATCACCTTGATCACCAGTCCAGCTTTAGTGAGTCATGTCAGTTAGTGCTAATTGGTCTGCCCATTGTTCTTGTTTCCAAACACCAAAAAGTCTCTAAGATTTTTTACATCAGAGCCACCAACAAAAATATCTTAGCCTAACCTTGCTCACAGTCCACTTCTCCAGATTCTAAGGGTGTTGGCCATTGCAAACACTGCGTCTTTTAGTTCTTTCTGAGGCTTGTTTGTTTATGTATTTTTTGTAGTGTTTGTAAGGTGTAACTAATTTTTAAGACATTTCATTTTTATCTTTCGTGTATTAATGTATTGCTGCACTTTGCAAGTATACCACATGCGTGCATTGTCAGTGGAGGACAGGAGGAGAGTATTGGAGTCCTTGGTACTGAAGTTGTTGGTGCTAGAACCAAACCTGGATCTCTTTAGTTGTAATTGTCAAGAATAAAACACCTGTATAATAGAGTCAATCTTAGAGTCAATAATAATTTTACTTTGTTTTCCTTGGTTCATTCTGGATCTTATTTTTTAATATAAGTGTGTGTGAGACAAAGATATAAACTACCTATGTTCAAAGTATCATACCTAGGAATCCCAAGTTATTTAAGTAAATTTTACAATTTACAATTTTTACCAATGTTTTTTTCTCTCAATTATTAATTTATGTAAGCCATGGGCTTTCACTTTGAAATTTTACCTTATAATTATCTAATGGTATTTTCTCATTTAATTCTATTAAACAGAGAATATAGAATGCTGGGGATATAGCTCTGTGGTCTTGTGAAACATGTAAAAGGCACTGTGTTCAGCCCCCAAAACAACACCCAACCCCCCCCATACCAAACTAACCATGTATCTTTGTATCCATGTTTAGATGAGTACGTTTTTCATGTGAAAGCCAGAAAATTAATAGACACACCCGAACATTGTCCAGTCTCAGTCTTGTCACTTTATTTCCATTGGTTTATTTAAGGTTATACAAATTTTTTTTCATATAAACAGAACCCTTATATTTGGATAGATTTTACAATGTTTATTGTAGATCTCACTCGTACGTACTATTAGGTACCATAAAAGTGTAAAAGTAGAACTGTGTTCAGTGCTCTTGGTGAGCATTTAGACACAGAAAATTATGCAGTTGGGATAAAGTTACTGTAATTAGCTTATAAAAATGAAGGAACGAGGGCTGGGTGTGGTGATGCAAGCCTGAAATCTCAGCACTCAGGAGGCAGAGGCAGGAGGATCTCTGTGAATTCAAGGCCCACCTGGTCTACAAGGCAAGTCCAGGATAGCCAGGGCTACACAGAGCAACCCTGCCTCAAAAAAAAAAAAAAAAAAAAAAAAAAAAAAAAAAAAAAAAAAAAAAAACAAAAAAAACAAAAAAAAAAACGACAAAAAAGAATGAATAGTAAATATAGAGCAATAGTTATGACCTTACAGATGCTGTAATGAAAAGTTTTGTCTGGATCAGCCTTAATGATGAAAGAGGGGTTGGTCTGGGTTAGGCCACAACAAGTGCTTAAAATGAGTGTTCTAGGAAGAACATGTAAAGTCTAATGTTTGCTTTAGAATGGAAATTATATTAGTACTTTTGTAAATATGTAAAAGGTCAATATGTCTAAAACACTGTTATTTTGTGTTCAACTTCAAAGTAATATGTAGACTAATATTTGTGATTGAGCTATGTACCTGCCTGTGAAGGTTAATTTTGGAACTTTAATCTGCATTGTTATTACTATTAGACTGAAGATTAGGTTTTCACTATTATGTGTGTCTGGAAATCATGGTGGTTGAGAAATGGTGCTCACAGCTGTGTTGGGAATATCCAGTTTGTGAACTTGCACAGTTGAAGCTGCACACAGCACAACAGAATAAACTTTGTTTTCATTTCTTATATTTGAACAAATTTATCGATGAAATAATTTCTATACTGTGAAAAAGTTTACAATTATTTCATATTTGAGAATCTTGAGAGTGAATGAACCTTATTATTCTCTGAGAAATGGGTAGGATTTTGATTTTTTTACAAAGTTTTTTTTTTTTTTAAGTAATTGAATAAAGACTATATATGTGACCATATATATAGCAGAAAACTGAACTTTTCTAAATTGGTTTTATAACAAAGAATAAAAATCTACTTTATTTGGAAATTTTCTCATACATATGTGGCTACCCTTTTCCTTAGGCTAAGTGAGAAACACAGTAAAATAGCTGCCTTGACAGAAAGTAAGTTTCTGCTTTATGGAGAATGCTGATGAGACCTAACAGTCAGTGGAAGGTCACTGGAAAAACTTGGATTTTCAGTGTTTTGGAACATCTGCCTTAAATGCTTTTGAGATACAGTAAATGTTAAGAAAGACAAACAGTTGAAAGTTTCTTGGAATTCTCTTACTTCATTAGTTATGGAAATGGCGTATCTCAAGCTAGTGTTTATATAAAAGCGTGCTGTTTAGATGGCAGTCTAGTGTAAACTACAAGGAGTTTTTAATGCTGTTTAGTTTCACATTATTTTGTTTTGTACTAAGAGATTTGGGCTGGATTATTTTTGTAGTTACATGTAAGAATTTTGGATGTCTTTGTTTAAACATAAAATTCCATCATAGTGAGATGAAATGACAATATTAAACTAATGTTTATGCTTCTTTAGACATTAGGTATATGTACTTTAGATTATAAACTGCATTGATGGTGGTTAAAAGTATGACCCTATAGGTAATCTTTTTAAGCAGATAAAACTGTTTGGATGCTTTCCCAGAGCAATTGGATTGCCCTCCAAGCGAATCTCTTCAATACGGTCCCGAATATAGCGAGTGTCATTAGCCTTACAGAATGTGTCATCTGTAATCGAAGATATGCTGTTGAACTGAAAAATAAAAGGAAAAACATTCAGAAGTTTAAAGTCAACCTTTTGTACGTCATATAATAGGAACACATAAGATATTTTACAAATAGTGTGATCTTTTAAAAAATAATTTTAAATAATATTAGTTTGTGGAAATGACACCTGAACATATTTTTAAATGTACAGTATTGTTTTAGAATAATAGTTTACTCATTACTCAGAGTAGCATCTATTCAATCCTATTTGGAATATAGAAACATGTAGGCTATAGAAAGTATCCTATTTCGAAGTGTTAACTCAAAATGATACTGTGTGCTTAAATACTTCTTAAAGGTGTGAAAAAAATAAGTTGAAATTCTTGTGTTGCTGAAATAGCAACTTTTTCTCATTTTCATCTCATTTCACTTTGGCAATTTCCACTTGATGCTATCCTATAAAACAAGCTTTAAAAAAAATCTCTAAAAGTACATGCTCACTTCTAATTGGAGAAAGAAGCACAAATCAGAAACTCTGAGCCCACTACTATTTGGAGAAAGAAGCACAAATCAGAAATCCTGAGCCCACTACTATTTGGAGAAAGAAGTACCTAGGAGCTGAACAGCACCTCGTGTCAGATGCTGACACATTACCAGGTGGTTTAGCTTCCATTATCCTGTGTCCCCTCCTTCCCCTGTCCTCCACCACATTACAGAATGCTTCTTTGGTGAAGAGAAATTGAACTCCTAGGAAATTCTTAGATGATAGGAGTGCCTTTACTTGTTTTTTTATTCCCCCTCTCATAATTTTGATAATGAATTTTGAATTTTGATAATGAAGTAACTCATAGTACCACTCTAGAAAACTGCATGATAGGGGACAAACAAACACATGCTTTGGATTATTCCTGCAGTGGGAACAGGGTTGTCAGACTGACTCTTGGACTTAGAAGGTCTCCATAGACTCAGTGTTACCAGAATTGAATTTTAGAATACCCAGCTGGTGTTGGAGAATTGGTTAGTAGTTAGAAAACGTCACACATTGTGTGTCACAAATGGTGAATTTGGCCTGTTAAAACAGACAACACAATTCCTACCACTGGTTATGGTTCCTGTGTATGTCTCAGTTCTGACTGGTTATTACTGCCCCTGTTGTTTTCTTCATTGTCCTTATTGTGGTCACCATCAAGGGAATCTCCTCTTCTGGGATGGCAGACAAACAAAAACACCACATAGGCATCCTAGCCCTTGTGATCATGCTCTTGGTTTTGCCTCCAACATCTACCTCAGATCCCAGGGTTCCATTTATATAGACAGTGACAGTGATTGTCTGATATCCATCCCTTCCTCACCCCAGTCACTTTCAGCCAGAGAAATAAGGAGCTAAAGAATGCCATAAATGAAAAAAATTAAATGCTCAGTGATAGAACACATGTCTGCTTTGTGTGAGGCCCTGTATCCAGTCCCCAGCCCTACTTAAAACTACTACAGACTGACTAGGAAGTGCCTAAAGATGTGTTCTGCTTAAGAGCAGATGTTTGGGGCTAGAGAGATGGCTCAGTAGCTAAGAGCACTAGCTGCTCTTCCGAAGGTCCAGGGTTCAATTTCCAGTACCCATATGGCAGCTCACAACTGTGTATAACTTCAGTTCTAGGGATCCAACACCCTCACACAGTCATACATTCAGACAAAACACCAATGTACATGAAATAAATCATTTTTAAAAAGGATAGACAGTATACTTCCTAGACTGGTCTACTTAGTACACTCTGGATTTGACCTGCGATTCTTATATAGGCATTAAGTAATCACACTGCTTTAGTGATGTAAACCTAATTAGACATATAAATGAGTGAGTTTTTTTATTGAATAATAAAAAGAATGGCTTCATAGTTAACTAAAGCTAGTTATTATGCAAAAACCCGTTGTACCTGAAGGTGAATTACACGTAGACTTTCTGGTAAATTAGGAGGCACAGATTCCAGATCATTATGGTCCAAATAAAGGAAAGAGAGTTTATTCAGTTTCTAAAAAGAAAAATTGGAATGTTACTGAGGTCTATGCATTTCTTCACATTCAAATAATGTATACTTTAAAAACAATATTGATGTAGTAAGCACATTTCAGTTATAACAATATTGACATAAGTTTGTTATTTTGATTATTATTGTTTTGATCGTATAAGCAGTGTTTTTTTGTTTTTTTTAGACATGATATCTAACAGAGCTCTGTTGCATACTCCACCTTTCTCTGACCATTCATCTCATCCCTGAATACTCAGCCTTTGAAATTTGTTTAGGGACCACCTGTGTAAGATCGATGGTTGAGTCCTTCAAGTTTTTTGAGAGTCCTGAGCTTTCTATAGAAGTACTACCTATTTCTAGAAAAATGGCTACTCCTAAGCAAAATGTTGCTTTCCCAAAGCAGTTTATCAAACATGCAATTTAACATGACATATGTTTTCCCATGAGGGATTTATGTTGAAATATTCTTTATAATCAATAACTTACTACTGTCTATGATTGTATGCTGTTACTTCAGAATGTAATTTCTTTTATGGAACTCTTAATCTTTGCATCCTGTGCTGCCATGCAGATTTTATTATTGCTATGAGTGAGGGTGTCTCACCACCAAACTACCTTAAATTTGTAGTCCTCCTTCAGCTTCCCAAAAGTTGGGATTACAGGCGTGTTCTACTATTCCCCACTTGCTAATTCTTTTCTATGCTATTATTTCAATCTTTCTCTTTTTTTCAATTTTTAAAAAATTACATGTATGTGTTCCTGTGTATAAGCCATAGAGCACATGTTGAAAGCTAGAGGACAACCGATAGCAGTTGGATCTCTGCTTCCATGTTTGACCTAGGGATAGAACTCAGATTGTCCAACTTGACAGCAAGCACCTTTATGTGCTGAACCATCTTCCCACCCCTTTATCCTTTCTTAAACATTCTACCTTTCTACCATATGGACACCAACTTTATACCTTTCCAGAGCTCTTCTATTTGGATTATAGTAACCTGATTTTATTGTACTTATTGCAACCATACTGCATTAAAGGAACTGGGCAATTGCATCATTTCCATGCAGACTTGCCCAGTATCTCTATAGTGGAATCCAAAATGTTTAAACCTCCCTCCCTCCCTTAAGTGGTAGGAATTGTGTTGTCTGTTTTAACAGGCCAAATTCAAAAGAGGTGAATGTCTTTTTCCTGACAGCATCTGTGACACACAATGTGTGGCGTTTTCTAACTACTAACCAATTTAAAAATATTAACACTGGATCAGTGAGATGCCTCAGCTATTAATGCACTTGCTGCTAAGCTTGATGACCTGAGTTCCAGTCCCAACTCACATGGTAGAAGGAGACAGCCAACTTTCACAAGTTATCCTTGACCTCTGTGTGTATACCTGGTATGTGCCCACACACAAAATAAATAAACACACAATAAATGTAAAAAAAGTTAAAATATAATCACAGATACTGTGTTCAGTCATACTATGTCATACTTACTTTGAATGTGTTTGCTTTAATTCCTTTACTCTTGATTTTGTTGTGTTTGGCATTAAGTAAAGTAAGTTTTGGGGGAAGAACTGGAAGTCTTAGTAGTTGGTTTTCAGCAAGTGTAAGTTCTTCTAACAGAGAAAGTTTTGAAAAAGTACTATCTTCTATGTCTTCTATCAAATTTCCTGTAAAGTCAAGTCTTCTTAAATTAGCTTGAGGGAAATAAATACAGAAATATGATGTTAGAATCTCATTGTCACAGATCATTCAAGGCCTTAACTTTTGGCTTAGGGTCTAGGATAGAATTAGTAACTCAGTCACGTTCATTTTGCAGAGTTGATAATCTAACTACAGCCTGGTGCTGGAATTTCAGAGGTGTGGAAAGTGAACCCAGGGCTTCATGCTTGGTAGGCAAGCATTCTACCACTGAGCTACAGTCACAACCCCATAAGTAAAGTTTTGTTGAGCACTGGGTGTTTTAGTGCCTAACAATGATGCCTTTTCTTACTGTGGTCTTAGAATGGGTTCAGAAGGAATCTTACAGTTCATACTCTTTCCATCTTTCTCTGAGGTCATTATGCACAAACCTCAAAGGAAATTTTTACTGCATGTCACAGAGAATAATTGTGGTTAATTTGATTTAGTCATGTAATTGTTTTTTTAAATTTTGGCCAGCATGTTGCATTATAATTGTGGGTATATTGTATTAACCTTATCTTACCTTATTTAACAAAAACAAAGGCAGAAATATACCCTGATTTGTTAATGCAGTCCAGACTGAGAAATTGATACATATTCACTCATTCATTGTCTCTCTTCCTCTATTGGGGCTGTCTTAGGCTGAGATGGTTAGAATATAGTTTCTTTTCGTTCATAGTAGCTGTTTTTCTAAAAGCTTGTTGCAATACTGAATTAATGAATACAAAACCATTGCTTCTTGGAGAGTTCCAGAGCCGGTGCTTAAAAGGTTCTGCTCACTAATTTTTGCCAACCAATTAATGTGAATCTTGCTTTATGTATGTTTGCTTGAAGACAGCGTAATATACCCTTTGGATTCATGAACACTGAAAAAACTCCTGCTTGAGTGAAATTTATCTAACACTTGCATTTTCTGCATAGGCTCACCATGCCGAATGCTCTGCATTTTGAAATATTAGATGAAATGCTATACTTGCTGCCATTTCAACCAGCATTTTTAGTATAAAGCAGAAAAAAGTGAAAACCGTGATGCTGTGTGTGCTGAATAACACGCCGCTTCAGTTTATGTCGACCGAAAGCAGAGCTTTGCTTTGTTAATCCTCAGCTGGAAATGCTGGAGTGCTCAGTTTTGTTGTCATTGCTCTGTGAGTTTCTGCCAGTGATCGTAAACACCCTGGAGGTTGAATCCATGCCTTCATCTGTGCTGGGCACATGCTGTAGCACTGAACTACATGTCCAGAAAAGTATATTTGCCAATACGGTATGTACACCTACGGTCCTTCAGTCTGCAACTTAGACTTGGTGGCAGCATGGTTCCAGGTATGGTTAATATTGTGAATGTTAAAGAAGCTGGAGATGTGTCACAGTAGTACAGAGCACTTGTGTGGGGCGAACTTGGACGCAGCTGGTGCACTCCCAATAAATAAGGAAATGAAATGAAGTGAAGCCAGTGTGTTTCTTGGTTGTGTTTTTCTTAGGAACCTTGATGACCTAGGAGTCTAGCAAACTGGCAAAGACTGAGTGATCCAGGCCTGGGACTTGGTACTGCCGAAAGGGACAGTAGAATGCCAACCACAACACCTTAGTTCAGTTAAAGTTGCCAGAACTCCAAAAGACGAATTGCTAATGACCTGGCAAAGAGTTAAGCACCACTGTTTCACAACTGTGTCCACTGAACAGCTAAGGAGCGTGGTTGCTTTTTATGATTATGAGTACAGCCTTGTATTTTAAAAGTTATTCTCCAGATATTTTTTCTTTTTTTTTACTTTTATTAAATACACTTGATTCACTTTGTATCCCCCCATAAGCCCCTCCCTCCTCCCCTCCTAATCCCACTTCCTTTCCCCTTCTTCATGCATGCCCCTCCCCAAGTCCACTGATAGGAGGTCCGCCTCTCCTTCCTTCTGATCTTAGTCTATCAGATATCATCAGGAGTGGCTGCATTGTCATCTTCTATGGCCTGGTAAGGCTGCTCCCCCCTTACCAGGTGATCAAAGAGCAGATATTTTTTAAAAGATTGTTAATTATGTGTACCTGTGTTTGTCTATATGTGGGTAAGTGCATGTGTAAATTCAGGTGCTAGAGGAATCAAGACAAGGGTATCAGATCCCCTGGAGATGAAGCTACATGTGGTTGGAGCTGGAGTTGTGAACCATCTGATATGGGTTCTGGCATCAAACTGAGAGGTCCTCTGGAAGAGCACCAGACACTCTTAAACACTGAGCCATCTCTCCAGATTCCTACCCTGATATTTCTAATGTGTATCCAGATTTAAGAGTTGCAAGTTAAGCAAGGTGTGTTGGCACACACCTTTTATCCCAGCACTCTGGGAGCAGAGGCAAACGTATCTCTGAGCTTGAGGCCAACCTGGTCTAAAAAGTGAGTCCAGGATAGCCAAGTGTACACAGAAAAACAAACAAATTTTAGAAAGAGTGGCAAGTTAAAGGAGTCATGTGCTTGAAATCCTAGCATATGGGAAGTGAGGGCAGAAGGGGAGGAGTTCAAGAGCATCCACCTCTACTGTATACTGAGTTCAAGGCCAGAAGAAAATGAAACAATAAAAAGGAAAATAAAGGTAGTTTATGTATTTATGGTAAAAGTGGAAAATATCTAGTTAGTTGGAGAAGCATCCTGGTCATGCTGACGTTGCTTGACACCTGAGGCAGTCCGTAGCTTGAAGTATTGGTCTTGAGATGATACCTATGTCAGACAGACAGCAAATTACCAGTAAAGAATGATCACAGAAGTCTGGTTGCAAAGGAGATTTTTCTAGTAAGGAAAAAATGATTTTTGTAAAGTGTATGTTGTATACTTGAATGCTCCAACAGTGCTGACCTTATATATAGTAAATGAAAGGTAGGAAGAAAATTGGGCTTTTATATTTTAAACTTACGCATGTCCGCAAAATCTTTGGCAGTCAGCTTTTTTATTTTGTTGAATCGTGCATAAAGATAAGCTGATTCCTTTGGCAGTGGTGGCACAGAGTCAATGTCAACTTCTTCACAGTATACGGAGCCACTTAAACAGACACACAACAGGCATGTGGGCATTTCTAAATTAGGAGACAAAATTGTAAGTATAAACTAATTTGAAAATATTTATCATCTGATTGTAATGTGATCATCTGATTATAGTGAATGCTGCGATTTGAAAAGGTGTGCTACAGAATCATTGGTGATATCAGGAAAGTAATTTATAGTAACTGACAACCTGTATTGTGCTTAACAATTCGTCAGAATTTTACTTAACGTCTATAGTTAACATAGCTTATTACTTTATTTATTCTTACTGTATGTGTGTAAAGGGTGCACACATGCCACAGTGGGTTTGTGGAGCTCAGAGAACAACTTGCGGGAGACAGTTCTTTCCTTCTACTGTGTGGATTTAACTCAGGTTGTTGGGCTTGGCAGCAATAGGTGCCTTTACCTCCTGTGCCATCCTGTTGGTCCCTTTTTGTTGTTTTTGCTGTGATTGTCTGTGAACCTGATGGAAGGCGCCATTTTCTTACTTGAATTTTAAAAATATCTACAGCGCAGAAGTTAAGATAAATAAAGGGTTGATATGTCAAGTTTGATGTGTCGAAAACATTTTTCAAGTAGATGACAGTAGTTATTGACATTAGAAATCCCAAGTGAAAGGAACAAGCCATTGACTTGGGAATCAGTCATTGGTGGGAAGCATTAGAAATCCTACTTCAGATCTCACTGGAAATGGCTCCACTGTGGGCTCTTGTTTAGATCCCTGGAGAACTGCCTTGGTTGAAAGTATTCCACCCCACTCATCTCTCCCTACTCTCTCTTCCACTCCCCTCTGCATCTTTCACTGTTTGAAAAGCACAGGGCTTTTTCTCTAGGGTTGGAAGCAGTGGATAAATGGATCTAGCTGACCTTGAACTGGAACCATGAGTCAGAATAAATATTTTCCGTCTAGTATTTGTCCCAATGATGAGAAAGCTAAGAGTCTTTCTACTTTTAGCCACTTAGATAATATATGTTGTTATCTTAATTGTTTTAAATTGCATTTTCCTAGCGATTTGTGACTTCCACAAAGAGTCTACTAAGTTTTTCCTTTTTCCTTTTAGTTTTGTGTTATTACTGAAGTATAAACATATATTCTAAGTATACGTTATTTCTAAGGTTTACAGTTTAATAAGTGTTTTGCCCAATTGTAATGTGTTTGTTTTCTTGTCAGTGTTTTTGAAGTATAAACATTTAAAATTTTAGTGAATAATTTATGCTTTTATGGTGCATGCATTTTATTGTATTTAAGAAATACTCACTAACCACCACAGCAAGCTTTCTTTGCTGTGACAAAATCCCTGTGACAATCAGATTGAAAGGTGGTAAGGTGGTGCTCTCTGACTCAGTTGCTCTCAGACTCAGTTACTCTCTGACTCAGTGCTCTCGGACTCAGTTACTCTCGGACTCAGTTTCAGAGGGGTTTTGCTTGTTTTTTTTTTTTTTTGTTTTTTTTTTAAGATTTATTTATTTATTATTTGTAGACTGTTCTGTCTGCATACCAGAAGAGGGCACCAGATCTCACTATAGATGGTTATGAGCCACCATGTGGTTGCTGGGAATTGAACTCAGGACTTTTGGAAGTACAGCGGTTTTAGACCATGATCAGTTGGCTTCATTGACTTTCACTGTGGCAAATAAATAAATGTAAATCTAAAAATAACTACCATCAGCTGAGGCCAAATCGTCACTATATGAGCTTTTACAGGGGTGTTTAAGATCCAAAACTTAGCAATAATTACAATGTTCTCCTTTGTTAATTCTAGAAATTTAAGCTTATTAAAAGAAATTTGAACATTTTAAGTTAACTTTTTAGACTTAATTATTTTATATCGGTGTTTTGCTTGTATGCATGTGTGTGCGCCACATGTGTACCTGGTGCCTAAAAAGGTCAGAAGAGAGCTGTGGATCCCCCGGAACACTGGGGTTACGGATGTTTGTGAGCCACCAGTTGGGTGCTGGCAACTGAACCTGGGGCCCTGGCAACCTGGGTGCTTTTAGCCACTGAGCCATCTCTCCAGACCCTTGCGTCAACTCTGAAATATGTGATATCAGGAATAATCAAGATTCTTTATTCTTTTGGTGCTTTCAACATGACTTTTGGAAAAATTTATCTTTTCTTCATTGAATTGCCAACACTTTTTCAGTAACCACTTAACCATTTAATAAATACCTATTTCTGGACTCAAGTATTCCATTAATCTTCCTATACTTCTTTATTTGGAGATGCTTGCCACGGACATGCCTGTAGCATCACAAAACAATGAGGAAGGGTAATCTCTGCCCTTCCACACTGAGTTCCAGGGACTGAACACAGGCCATTAAACTTGGTGGCAAGTGCTATTCCAGATCACTGGCTTTTTAAAGAAACTTTTATCTAATAACATAGTTAGTAGTATCTTGATTCCTATGCTTTTATAATATGTTTTGCTTTTAGGTAGTAAACCATCCAACTTTATTTTTGCTTAACACTGTTTTGGATTCTTGTGTCTTTTCCATGTGCTTTACATTTATACATATATTTTCATGTTTTGATGAATAATTTAAAATTAAGTATACCTCTTATTATTTATGATCAGAGTAATTGTCAACATCTCATGATATCTCAAACCCATTTTGCATTTCCCTACTCCAGTCCTGAAATTGGCAATCTTTTCTCTGTCTCTCAGTGGAGAATGATGCAGAGTCTGGCTGGTTAAAAATGCCCTAATACCGAGGCTGACCTTGAATTTCTGATCCTCTTGCTCTCATGTTCTGAGATTGCAAGCATATATTACTATTAACAATTTTTGCTGGGAACTCAAACCCAAGATTTTCTGTGTGCTAAGCAAGCAGTGTAGCCACTGAACTACACCCTAGCCTTCCCTCTTCCTTTTTATAGCTGCATCGTATTTTCTTGGGTGGATGTTGCCAGTGTTTGGGCTGTTGGATTATTGCAGTACTTTGTAACTGCCAATAGTGCTTTAGTGATTTTACATTTTTATTTTTAATTTTGGATATGGGTCTTTAGGGTAAAATTCATAAATGTGATGCCTGTGTCAAAAAGTAAATATGGGCTGAGGATGTTGCTTAGTGGTGCTTCCCTCTCACACAGTTGGCCTTGGTTTGGGTCACAAACACCCCCCCAACACACACACATAAACAAAACAAACAAAAACAAGTAAATCTATTTTGATTTTGTTAAATATTACCAAATTCCTGTCTGGAAGTGTTGTCCTAATTCACATTTCTTCTTGCATGTATTAGAATATTTGTTACTATACAACCTTGACTAGGGAATATGTTGATATGTTGTCTTCATTTTTATCAATATATTTTTCTTTTTTAATAAAAAAATGTGATTGAACATCTTTTTATATATTTAGTGTCACTTTAAAGTCATTTTGTTAAGTCTTCATAACTTTTCCCATTTTCCAAATGTATTCTTAGATTCTAAATTAAAAATATTGTTGTTTATTTGTTTGCTTTGTGTGTATGTGCATAAACATTTGTGCTTGCCATGTCATATGTGTGGAGGTTGGAGTACAAGTTACAGGAGTTCTTTCTGTCCAATATGTAGGGCCTGGGGATTGAACTCAGAAAGTCAGGACTTGGCCCTGAGCTGTGTTACTTACTGGTCGTCAGATGGATTTTGTTCAGTTTCTTTTCTTCAATTTATTCTTTATAAATTAGAGATATTACATCTTCATAATATATTGCAAATATCCTTTCCATTTTGGGTTATCTTTTGCTCTATGCAAAAGTGATTTTTTTGTAATTCTATGGAGCAATTTTTAAAATCTTTTCTATTAAAATATTTGGGTTTCCCAGACTGTCTGCTAATTCTTTAAGGCTTTATCTTACACCTGCAGAGCCTTAATTTTTTTTAAGTTTTTTTTTTCTGCTTTTATGAAATATGCAACTAATTTATCTCTCTCCAATAGGCTATCTAGTTCTCCTAGACTCTGTTATTTAAAATATTTTTCCCTTGGCAACTGAGTGCTTGAATACTTTTCCATGCTTAAATTATATACAACAATGGCTTTGTGTTTCTGTTTATGTCTGATATTTTTAATCTGTGTCTTTGTTCGTGCACTGTCTCCAACTTGTTAAACATGATCTGTGTTACCTGACACTGTTCAGTGATTCCATGGCTATTTTTGCATTTTTCTTATATGCATTTCTATGTATTTTTAGAATCAACTATGTATTTTAGAATCAACTTTTCTAGCATTCTCAAAATTTTGTTAATTTTAGTGGGATTGTGTATACTATCTGAATTTAGAGAATGATATCTTTATGGTTTTGAATCATCCTGTTCAAGAAAAGGATATCGTTCCAACTATTCAAGCCTATTTTGACTAAAACACTTGCCAGATTTTTGATGTGTTTTCTGTTTTGGCTTATTTTAATTTTATTTTAGCAAGATAAGAATTGTTGTGTATGGGTTTTCTCATGCTTTCATGTGAGACCAGGTTTTATGATATAACAAGAATAAATTAAATATGGGAACTCTATAAAGTAGTTTGTTATTTTATAGTAATCTCTCTATTGTTTTAATTGAAATAGATATTGTAGTTACTATATAGAGTCATTTTTGTTTCTCTTTGTGTTTTTCTTTTTTGCTTGCTGCTTTTTAAAGTATTAGTATTGAATTGAGGGCCACATGCAAACACTACCAGCACATGTCCAGCTTCTGTGAGTTTCTTGAAGATGATAGTTAATTGTATTATATTTACCTCATCCTGTCTATTGATTGGATTTGAAAAATAATCTTTAGCTCGTTCTTGTTTGTTTTTGAGATGTCTTGTTATGTAGCCTTTGCTAGCCTGAAACTTCCTGTGTCTAGGACTGACTTTGAACTCACTGAGATCTATCTGTCTGCCTTTGCCTCCCAAGTGCTGGGATTAATAAAGGTGTATGCTACCATGCCAGGCTTTTGAACTAATTTTATGTGGGCAGAAACATAGATTTTTCTAAAGGAGAGGTTTAGACAACACGTTGGGTGCTCCTGAGTATTCTGGTCCACAGTGTCCACTCATAGTGGGAAACGTAGGTGATGCACACTTCCCATACAATATAGACTTCACCATTGGAGGTGAAATTTCAGTTTATACTTTACTATGTTTTGAGACATTTTAATTACTACAAAAAATAAAATTTCTTGTAGGGTATTTTTAAATGATGCTTTTCAAAAATAATGGATGATAGTTTGTTTCTACTTACCATCATTTTCTTTATTGGTTGGTAATGACGGTATAACCTCATCGTTTTGTAACTGAAGATTTTTCTCATCAGGAATTATCAAAGTTTCATTTTCCTATTATAAAGTTAGAAGTTTGTTATCAGGTGAGATAAGTCATGAGTCTGACGCTAAACCGGAGGGATCACAAACATATCTCATAGTCATAACTAGAGCTATTTCATTAAGATTTTGTTTTATGTGTGTGTGTGTGTGTGTGTGTGTGTGTGTGTATGACATACATGTTGGACAAAGGACAAGTTTCAGAAGTCAGTTCTCTCCATCATGTAGGGATCTGTGGCTGTAAGAGACTATCTTCAGCAGAGCTCTTCTTCAGCACTCTGTTAAGATTTTATTTGTAATTCCATTTCTTATTAAATCACACTGTAAATACTCTAGGTAGAGTATGCATTCCTGAGTAAGCAAATCAACTTTTTAAAAAAATTTGTTTCCATTGGCTGAACTCAGTACTTGGTATTAACATATTGACAGTTCTCTGAGTGGGAATGAACGTTTTTCTAATGTGAAACTATTCCTTAAAGTTTTTCATCAGTTTCTATCCTTCTGAGAATCAGTACAGCAATAGCACATTTCTCACGGTCACAATTAGAGCTGTGTAATTAGAATGTAAAGTACTGAGTGCATTCTTTCATGATCTGGATGCCTCCCTGATTTGGCCTTAGGATGGATCCCTTTTATTCTAGCCTCTTCACCTGATCAGGCCATTGGTGTAGGCTGTTCATGCTATGTAACTGGAGGTTATCATTCCCTCTGTCCTCTTTTCAGAGAATGTGTTTTCTGCTAGTAGACCATAATTTAGTACATGGGGTCCTATTCACTCTACCTTTTTTCTTTCTTTCTTTCTTTCTTTCTTTCTTTCTTTCTTTCTTTCTTTCTTTCTTTCTTTCTCTCTCTCTCTCTCTCTCTCTCTCCCTCTCTCTCCCTCTCTCTCTCTCTCCCTCTCTCCATGTTATCTCAGTAGACTCCTGACCTTGTCCTTGGCCCTAATTTTCTCATCTGTGTACTGCCTAAACCTATCAGTCTTCCCCACTGAATTCTCCACTTCACACAAATATTGGTCCACACATTTACATTGATGTAAAACTCCTTAAAGCTCCGTGTAGTTAAGCAGAAAGCTTTAAGATTCGATGACTTTTGAAAGTATCTTTCATTTAGCTGATAGACTCAGATCATTCCAGTAAGACAGTAGGTTACGAGATTTTTTTTGTTTTGTTGTTTTGCTTTAACCTGAATCTGTTGCTAGAGAAGCTTGTCTGTTTTGTCTTAACCATGGGTAAAAATAACCAGTGTCTTAACTCATTCCTTTGGAAAATAAGAAACTGTGGCATTAACATCAGCTCATTGTGAATTAGGACAGGGAAAAAAAGCAGTTTGGACTGGCTGATCCTAAAATGTTCACTATCTGATTTATAGTAAAAAGAATTTTTAAAGTAGTAAATGTTACTATGAATCTGACTCTAATTTTCCAGTGTATGTGTGCATGACACACAGTAGGTAGTACATAGTTTTATGCCATGTTAATGTCCTCCTCTATCCAGTGTTCATTTCTCTATGCCCAGAAAAAAACACAACTATTGCTTTGTTTTTAAAGGTTGGATGTGAGTGTTGTGGTATAAAAGCCACAACTCAGTGACATCTCATTATAGAACTTTGGTAGAAATTGATAGAGTCAGAACTGTTAAATGTGATTACAAATAGTAAGATTTACAAATAGTAAGTAGTTTTTTATTTGTTGCCACTCTTATGTGATTGCATGCATAACTAGCAAGTAGTCTTATATTTACTTCCTAAGACTGTATTTTAATGAATTCTGTAAACATAAATTGATAATTCATCTTTTCCTAATTTATTGTTGAGGCACATATAACAAGAAACTATAGGAAATTATATAACATTATTTAACATAAATTTCAGATATCATCTTGAAGATTAATGTCTCTTAAATTTTAATTTAAAATGTAAATTTTCTCTAGCTACTTTTTGTTTACCATAGGTTCTAGTTATTAATTCAGGAATCATGCATACTTGAAAAATATAATTACTTTAAATCTTAAAATGCCTTTCTCAGTCTTAACATATCAAACACTGAATTTAAGAAGAAAACTATGCATTCAAGTAGGTATCATTTTAGAATAAAAATTTAAAATAGAAATTAAATACCTTAATATATTTTCCATCCAGGTGTTTATCATCATAGTCCTGGTTAACTGTAGTTTCTTCAGAATTATCTGTTCCATACTCAGTGTGCAAGTTGAGTTGAGTTTGAGGTGCTGGCTGCGTCAGAGGCAGCAGCAGTAGCAGGAAAAGTGTGGAATGCACAGTCTTCATCTCAGCAACCAAGGTGACTGGAAGTTGGTATACTAGTGGCCTGGTAACTGTGGAACAAAACTCCTTTTCCCTGGAAATAAAGAATGTAGACCATGGAAGCAGTACTTAAAAGCTTGCAGCAGGGGCTAGAGAACAAGTATTTAACCCTTAGTGTTCCTTAATTAGATACTAACAGTTTTATATGTCTAGTGAAGATGCTCAAAAATTCAGAAAGTAGTTTTATTTCTTACCTATCAAAAATTTAGAACTGTTGTTAAGTTTATTAACAGTCAAATGCCTTGAGTAGGGGTACTTGTATGTAGTCAAAATCTTCTCAGGATACCTGCAGTATAAATGGTTAACATGAAGATCCATGATCCTGTGTCATGTGAGTTAAAGATATCATATTTCAGGTTGCTGCTTTAAAGTAACTCTTGATTCATATTGATGTAAAAGAAGCAGTTCTGAGAAAAGGTTTAAAACTTAAACTTAAAAGCTTAACATCCTAAAAAGTACACATTAACACCTTTAAGTTGCATAGAATATAGGGAAAAACATTTAATTTCTCTAGTTTCATAAATTTAACAGGTTGTCATAGCTTAGTTAATGATGTTGCCTTTTTAAGCTTAAATTATGAAAAATTCAACAATACCACTGCAGACTAGGGTAATTTAAAACCTTAAGCAAGGAACTTTGGAGAATGTACTGGAAAGATTCTTTGAGGCTCACCAGTGAATTTTAACTGATGAGTACACGTTTCAGACATTTTTAAAACTACAGACAGACTCACTAAGAGGTGCTGATGCTACATTTACAGATGCCAGTTTGTCAGAAACCCAGTGGTTGGGATTTCAAAATAAAAGGGTTTGTAACTTTTTCTGCGCCCAGTTCTTATCTACATCACCGTTAAAGTTATAAAATAATATATGAAAGCATTGTTGAAAATAATTCTTCAAGGAAAATGAAACTTACACTACAGATTACTTTACATTTATTAAGACTTTTAAAAGCACACTTTAACACACAGTATTTAAATTAGTATTTGAAAAACAAGCCTACCGTAGGATCTGGGTGAAATCCTGTGTGGTTTTCCTCAATAGGTGTTCATGCCTGTGCACTAATCCCAAGTGGGATGGTGAATGAGCAAAGCTGTGGAATTATTTCAAACTGTTGAATAAAGTTTCAGGGCCCAATAGCATAAATCCCATGTGGAATTCAACAGCAAATTCCATGTGGTAGGAATCTTTGCCAACATTCCTTCTCTGGGGTGAAACGCAGGTTGTTACACGAGAAAATGTGCAGCAGATGTTTGAAACTGCAGCACCAGGGCAGTTGCAGTGTATTGCAGTCCAGATCCCTTTACCTTATGCTCTAATCTTTTAGTGAATATTAGTTTATAAAAATAAATCTTTTTAAAATCATGCTTTTATTTTTGTGCTTTCTGGTATAGAAAACATTTACTTTTGAATGAAGTAGAACACCAAACCAAACATAGTCTTTGGTTTTAGTTTAGTGAGGACTAACAATTTTGTTCCCATGCTATAAGAATCACTTTCCCCTAGTTGGGCTGTCTTATCACTCTCCAGTGGGAGAGGATGTACTTTGTCTTGCTGTGACTTGAGATGCCAGGGTGGATTGGTACCACTTGGGGTCTTCCCCTTCTCTGGGTGGAAGAAAGCATATTGAAGGAGGGGAGTGTGGGGGTGGACTGGGAGGAGAGGAAGGAGGGGCCTGGGATCAGGATGAAAAGTGATTAAATGAGTAAATAAATGGGGAGAGAATTTATATGTAAAGTAAGTTTTAAGACAAATTATTTTGTAGTTTTGTCCTTTGGTTTTTCATTTCTTTATTTTAGTTCATAAGAATGTAAAAATAGCTTTTAACAAGTTTGATTCCATAATTTTGTAACTGAAACTTTTTACTGAATGGAATTTTAGATTACATTTGAAAACTAAAGTAGAGGCTGGGTGTAAAATTTTTACAGAATGAAATTTCATGTTAAATTTGAAAACCAAAGTAGGGCCTGGGTGTATTGGTGCACATATTTAAATCCCAGCACTCAGGAGGCAGAGACAGGTGGATCTCTGCTAGTCTGGTCTACACAGTGAGTTACAGGCCATCCAGAGCTACATAGTGAGATCCTGTCTTAAAACAAACACAAAACAAAACTGAAGTAGTAGCATAGATAGCATCTTTAAAGGCTCACATATCTGTAATCTCAATACTTGAGAACCAGAGACAGAGGTTGGAGAGTTCAGGGATACATTGCAAGCCCTGTCAAAGCCACACTTCTTTTTCTTAAAGCAAAATATGAATAACTATTTAAAATAGAGCATGGGGGCTGGAGAGGTGGCTCAGCAGTTTAGAGCACTTGTTCTTGCAGAGGACCTGCGTTCAATTCTGTAAAAGGGGTAAGAAGTCACTGAAGAAATTTCAATCAATGATTGTGGCTGGTGCAGGGCAGAGTTTTACAGAAAAACAAGGCACAGGCCAGTAGTTGGCAGTGTAGTCCTTTAATCCCAGCACTCATGAGGAAGAGGCAGGAGGATCTCTGTGAATTCTGAGGCCAGCCTGGTCTACAGAGGGAGTTCCAGGACAGCCAGGGCTAAAAACAGAAACCCTGTCTCGAAAAACCAAAAACAAACTAACAAAAAAAGGCACAGAGAATGCTGGAGCAAAGTCTAGAGTATGCCTGTGGTTGAAATTACTCTTCAGTTGACTGATTCTGGGTAGCCTAAACCCCCTATCCTAAGTCATGTGAATGGTCTTTCTGGCATGGCTAACCTATCCTAAAGCTATTGTAAGTGCCAGTCCCACACAGAACAAAGACAGAACTTCAAGAATAACATAATCACATCTGGGAAAGGAAAGCTAAGTTCAGCCACTCTTTAGGGAAAACCAAAGCCCTTATATATAGTTCCCTATGGAACTGTTTGAAACTGAGGCTGTTTTCCATTTCAGAAAGAAATGTTACACTCTGGCAGAAATTTCCTTAAATTTTCCTATTAAACATGAAAGCTGCTGAATGCTTTAGGTCTCATACTGGAAGCAAATGGCTAACTAAGGTGCCCAATAGCATATGAAAGAACACTGGCCACCAGGTTCTCCCCGCATCTCTCAGTCCCTACCTGTTACCAGGCTTGGCCAGCATACCACACCCTCTGCCCTGAACTTTCCAGCCCAGGGGTGGGGCTTCCTCTTCCCCAGAGGCTCTCCACTATATATTCCAGACATTTTGGGTTTGCCGCACTCTGCTTTTCTTCTCTCCTTTCTCTCTGCACTCTCTCTGCCAACATGTTTTCCCACCACCCACTTTTCTGTCTCCCTCTGCATGGTGACTTCACTGACCCCTTCTTCTGAGGTCAGTGAACCCACCTGAGAGCTGCCACCAATAAACCTGCATCTATATACTCTTATTTGGCTTTAATTGACTCGTTTCTTTGAGTGTTTACCCTGAATTCCATTGCCAGTTGTGCATAAGAGGGGAATGGTGAACATGCATCAGTAACCCCAGCACTTGTGAGAGGACAGAAAGGTCAGGAGTTAAGCTCACTCACGGCTGTATGGTAAGTTCTAAGCTAGGCAAACTGTTAAGAGTTCCTAAAAACAGATGCCAGGCAGATATCTATGAGTCATCTAGCCAGCCTGGTCTATGTAATGAGTTCGAGGCTAGCCAGAACTATGCAATGAGACCTTATCTTGAAAGAGAAAACACAAAGAAAGAAAAAGAAATTTGAGTTTAAGAAGCAAGGGTTTTCTGGGAAGGGGAAGGAGGAAGAGAATACTAACAGAAACCATGAACTACTCAGTGAGTTGACTCAGTGAGTTAGTATTTTCTCCATCTTCAATATCATCCTCTGACTTCATAGGAAACTGTAGTTTAGAGTCAGAATACTTGTCTGAGTTATCTTAAATCTCATGTATTTATATGAACGTGGCTCTTTTGCCCATAGGAAAGAGATGTGAGTGTAAGTACTTTACAAAGGGGAAGGAGGTTATGATGTAACATGAGGATGAGTTAATGCTTTTTTTAAAGTATGTTATCATTTTTCTCTTAGTGTCTGAATTTCTAAAATGTTTCCACAGTCTGAGTGCTTACAGTGATGGAAGAGGTGTGCACATATGATGCTACTTATAGCAGTACTTAGTTGTACCAAATGCAGCTACTTAAACTGGGCATAAGATTCTTTATGGGAAAGTGTAGCGAAGAAACTTGGGATTTTTAGCTCTTATGACCTAATTTTGTTTCCAGATGTTCTTTTACTTTATTTCCCAAACTTAGAAGGGGGGAAAATATGTTTGGAATCAGGAAACCAGAATTTTTATTTCAGCCATCCTGGGGGACAGAGGAATTCTTTATAACACATAAAGTCTATAGAAGAGATGAGGGTTTTCTTTTTTCTTTCTTTTTTTTTTTTTTTTTTATATATGTTTTCCCTTCTTCCCTCCTAGAGCTGGTTAAATGTGTTATGTGATACACATGTGTCTGTGTTTTAGCTTAGTAGTTTCTAAGTTGAGAATAAGTTAAAAAATCTGTGCTTTAGGTAGTACACATGGACTAGGTGTTTTCAACATTAGTATTTTGAGCACATTTCTGAAGGAACCTCTATTTTCATTTCCTTTCTAAGAACTAAATGTGTTATTTTTATTAACTAATCTTGGATTTTTAGTGTGATGTGCACATTTGTTACTGCTTACAAGCAATGTAGCCTTTTTTTTTTTTTAAATATAACCAAACACAGTGTAAAAGTAGATGCTCATGGTGTAACCTATCCAGTGTAAAAGTAGATTCTCATGGTTTTCTTTCTTGTTTTAGTTACCAAGCCAATTCATTGTCTGCATCTGATACAGGTAACTGCTGTGCTATAAAAAGTACAGACAATACTTTACTCTTCAGTTTCTCTGAGGAAAAGTTTTGGCATTTTTTATTTGCTTTATTTACTGATAAATCCTTGGATTGGTTTGAGTTCACTGTGGCATTTCTTCTTTGGTTTGTTTTTGGGGTTTTCAAGACAGGGTCTCTCTATGTAGCCTTGGATGTCCTGGACTCACTTTGTAGACCAGGCAGGACTCAAACTCACAGAGCTTTGCCTGCATCTGCCTCCCTGAGTGCTGGGTTTTCAGCTGTGCGCCTCTGTGTCCAGCTCACTATGGCATTTCTTAAGTAATAATAATAAATGATTGTAGACCTACGTCTTCTGGGTTTTGAGCAGGAGGGATTTTTGTGACACAGTTTACTTGCGTATCTTTGGAGGGAGAACCTGAGCAAGTTAAAGCTGTTCTTCCTACTAGGTAGGAGTTTGGCTGCATTGTGGTGCTGAGGAACAGCCTTGTGAGGGGAATGGAGGGAAACCCTGGTGGGCCGTCTGAAAGTGTGTTGAACGGTCCAGAAGTGAAATCGCTTTTGTTTGTCACAGGATATTGGATTTAAAAACTTTCCTGAAACCCTTAGTAAAGTGTCTGTGTCTAATGCTAACCTTTTACATGAGTACAGTCCTGGAAGGGCCTCAAGATGCTGGCTCCTCTCTGTGTGGCTTCTGGCCTGAGAAAGCCGCTGCTAGCACTCTGCAGTGTATAGTATCTACACTTTTGGGCTGCAGGGCCACACATGCTGAGGAGGTTACTAATTCTGAATGCTGAAGTCTGTGTGCCTTTCTAGCTTTCCAGAAACCTGATGAGAATTGTCTTTGTTGTTGTTTTGTTTGTTTGTTTTCTTTTGGAGAGAGGGTTTCCCTGTGTAGCCGTGGCTGTCCTGGATTCACTTTGTAGCTCAGACTTGAACTCAGAGAGTTCTGCCTCCCGGAGTGCTGGGATTACAGGAATGCACCACTGCACCCAGCTGAGAATTGTCTTTCTTAAAAATGAGGAAAGGGGAGGTTTAGAGCAGCTATGAAAAAGTTTTCAAAGCTGTGAAAAAACTTTAAATCATTCAAAGTTTTCTACTTTAGAAGTGAAAAATTAAGGTTTCATACCCATGTGTCTAATACCAGTTTTTTTTTCTCGTTTTTCAATTGCCAGATATGTAGTTCTGGTTTTTGTTTGGATGATTTTTTTTGTTGTTGTTGTTAATTTAGAAAGAAATAAACAATCTTTAGATTTAACAAAATTGAGAATTTTTACTTTTTAACTGTCTAAGAGTTCAAGTAATTGCTACTTCTTTACATTAATCTATAAAAGTCTCTACTTCTGCTAGTCAGGTCCTGCCATATCACAGCATCACTTTTTCCTGCTTCACCAAGCTCAGGCCAGAAATTATGATATCCATGATTGTAAGTATTTAGGTTCTTCCATATTCCTCACAACCTATGATGTCATCATGTGTAGCTGGCCAGGTGGCCACACCTGGAAGGCGTGGTTACCTTACTGCTTATAGGGACCAACTCACCATGTTGTCCCTCTCTTGTTCCCTGTTGGCCTCTCTTGCCTTCTCGCCTTCTCCCTTTTCTGTCAGGACGCCCCCCCTTCCCCTATCATGTCTCCCGCTCCTTCTCTCCCTCTCTTTTTATCTCCATCTAATAAACCTCTTTCATATAAAATCTGATGTACGCCTCATCATTCATTAATTGGTCCTAACAATGATTACCTGCTTTATCATTCCTGCCTCTTCACCATTTTGTTTGTTTATCCCTTGTGTTTGAGTAAGTTACGTGATTTGTTTTTAAATACCTACTTTGTTGAGCTAATTTCAATTTAATGCAATTTGCTTTCTTAAATTGTACAAATTCAATCATTTTAGTATTTTCATATAATTATCACAGTAATTTTAGGAAACGTTATTGCTTGTAAAGGAAGCCCTGTTATCAGTTCTTTTTTGAAATGAGAGTCTCAAACTTGCTGTATATGGAAGAATCTCCATGAACTCTTGAAGTTCTTGTATCTACCCTCCACTTCCAAGTGCTGGGATTGCACAGCTTTGTGCCACCACACCCGCCGATGCTGATTTCCTCTTTCTGACTCTTGAATAATGCTGCTATGGTTTAAGCAGACTTTGGTGTGTACCTTGTTCAGTTCTCTTAGGTAGGTACCTGGAAGTAGAAATGTTGATTCATACCTAACTGGAGCTTTCCAAAGAGTGGCATCATTTACTATCAGCTGTGTGTGGAGGTGCCAGTCTTTGTCTTTATCAGTGTTTGTTATTTGCTGCCATTGTAATGAGAAAGGGCTAATGTTTTTATTGTGGTTTTGATTTACATTTCTTTAATGGCTCTTTTTAAATTTTAAAACAATGGATGTTGAAAATTTTGTCTGATCTTGCTTATTTCTTAAAATACAGTATCAGATTTTCATTCATAATGAATAATTGCATTCATAATCCCAGTTTTGAAACATTTCAGAAGAACCAGCTGGACCTTAAGGCCTGTGTCACAGGAATGCCTAGGTCATGCCACTAGAAGTTGACTCTTGGTCTTCACTCTTTGTGTCACAGTTGCTCATTGTACTCTTTTTCCTTATCTCTCACTGCTGTACCTTCTACATTAAATAACTTTATGTAGATGCTTAGATGAATGGATGGAGTTTTGTTTATGTCCATTATGCATTGTCACCTTTGCACTTGGGGGCAGGTGAATGTTTTCTTCTGTTAATGCTAACAACTTATTCAAAGATAGGAAAAAAAATAGAGGCTTCTCAGTACTCAGAATTTGAATAAATACTTCCAAATTATAGTGTACCCATCTGTTAATTGTAACATGTCTAAAGTTTTATCTTGTGTTTTTGGACTCTTTGTATTGGCATACCCAAATTTACATTTGTTTCTTTACATCAGGAGTTCTGTGAAGCATCAGTGCCTGCTAAATAAGAGAGTTTATCACAACAGTTAACATATTCCCCATAGAGCTTACTTAAATACTTCAAAATGGACTAAGTAAAGCTTACTTCATACTTCAGAATGGACTAAATAAAGCTTACTTCATATTGCAGAATGGACTAAAGAACCAAAGTGACTTGTAAGATTGTAGAGGTGATGTGAAGAGGCCTGTGATGGTTCTCACACTTCTGCAGATGAGAGGAAGCTGAGGCTAGGTCTTCTGCCCAAGGTCACTATCAAAGAGTAGCCTTAGGCTTAAAACCCAGGCATGACATGTCCAAGACTCTGCTTCTAGCTGAATCTCATGATTCAGATAATTTGTTTTATATCATGCTCTGAGAGAAGAATACTTAGTTTACTGAATTGTATGTCTTAGATTTTAGGATGGTGACTTTAAAAGTCAAAAATACCATCCTGAGCACTGGACCAGGAACATATATCTTAGCAGTATTGGAAATACAAGTGTGGGGGCTAAAGAGGTGGCTCAATGGTTAAGAACACTGACTGTTCTTCCAGAAGACCTGGCTTCAATTCCCAGTACCCACATGGCAGCTCACAACTATCTGTAACTCCAATTCCAGGAGATCTGACACACACACACACACACACACACACACACACACACACACACACATACACATACACACACATCAGGCAGAACATCAATGTACATAAAATAAAAATAAATATTTTTTTAAAAAAGAGAAAGAAATGCGAGTCTAGCCCTGTAGTGGTAGTATACATCTTTAGTCCCAGCACTCAGGAGGCAGAGGCAGGTGAATCTTAAATTCAAGGTCAGACAGGTCTATAGAGTGAGTTTCAGAACAGCTAGGACAACACAGAGAAACCCTGTCTCAAAACAAGAAACAAGAAACAAAACAAAAAAGAATAAAGAAAGAAAGAAAGAAAAAAAGGAAGGAAGGAAGGAAGGAAGGAAGGAAGGAAGGAAGGAAGGAAGGAAGGAAGGAAGGAAGGAAGGAAGGAAATACAAGTGTGAAAAGAACTCTGTAGACAAAGTCACTAAAAGTGATCTTTCTTGAGTGAAAGATGACTGTTAGGTTAACATTTCCTCCTGTTGCTTAGATGGCCTCTTCAGGTCTAGGGGATAGCTCTATCTTCACTGTTAGGAATACTTCTTTACCATCCCTAGAAAATGTTCCATGACTGGAAATGGCATGTTCAGATGGTTTTATGTTATTTATCATCATCATCATCATCAGGAGAATACACAACAGCACACATATGGTCAGAGGAAAACATGACAACCTGCGGGAGTTGGGTCTCTCTTACTCAAGTCATTAGGCTTGGTGGTAAATGCTTTATCTGCTGGGCCATCTTGCTGGCCCTTACATATTTTTTTACATGATAATACTAAATTTAAAGAATATACAAAGCCATTGAGCTTAGCTTTTTTTTTTTTATTTCCATGACCATTCTATTCTATTTCTTAAGGTTTGAATAATTTTTAGTAAGCTCTAAGCCTATGAAATGAAGCCATTGTCACCAACATGGTAAATGCAATTCTGATCTTTACACTAACACATGCTTCTATATATGTTATTTAGAGCAGTATATGTTTAGACTTGTAATTAGTAAGGCTTTATGAAGTCATAAATATATACCTATATAGTTTCTTGCCATTCTTGCATTTCATAGTAATGAGTATTGAAATGCTCTTCTATTATTTCTTGACCCTCAAGAATGTTGTCCTGACCATCATGTTCTTCCTCTTCCTCATCTTGATAGCTCCTGAAAACTTGGGTCTTCAGTTCTATTGTTTCACCATTAGTGCTCCTTTGTTCACCATAGTAAATACTGTGGATATGAGGGAAGCAGAAGAAGATATATGAACTTATTGGTTCTTTCAGCTTATTTTGGTCCACCCGAAGGTATGTTAAATGGCGATGGTGTAGTGGATCAATAGAAGGACACATCATTGTCACATTGATATCTAAAAAAGAAAAGTCAAAAGTTAGTCCTAAAAAAAAAAAAAGTTAAAAGCAAAAAAGTTAAAAAATAAACACAAAAAGTTAATCCTACATATGATAGTCATATTTCCAGGTTGGATTTTGTTACATATAATTTTATTACAATACTTACAACTAGAATTAGGTTTAATTATTTTTATATTAATTAAAGTGAAACTCTTGAGTTTCATATCACCAAAATAATATGAATACATTGGCTTTACTGATTATATAAGTATTATATAATTGCTTCTTAGTAGAAGCAATCTTATTTTAAAAAAAATAAAAAGAATAAAAGGAAAAAAAATTCAACCCTACTAACCAGTGTCGTATATCTTCAGATGATCTCAAGTACTGCTTGCTAATATTCAAAGTGGCAAAGTTGGATAGAAAAGACTATAAAATTAATGGCACTCCTTTTCCACGGGCTATTATCTGCCACCTCCTTAGCCAACCTCAAAGCAACCTCTTTCATCACTATGGAAAGCATAGATTATTAACAGTTCATTCTTTATAAAGAGTCAAAACACTATTGTTTCTTTCAGGCATGTTGGTGCATGTGCCTTTAATCTCGGCACTAGGGAGGCAGAGGCAGATTAATATATGTTTGAGGACAAGCCTCGTCTACATAGCAAGTTCCAGGGCAGCCAGGACTATATAGAGGAACCCTAGCTAACACACACACACACACACACACACACACACACACACACACACACACACA